TTTGTAAAAACATAAATCAGACAGGTAAAATGCTTGGATGTTAATGCCCATGCCAATTTTTCCAACTGTCTGATTGCCATCATATGGCAATCATGTTTAAGTTCACAGGACAAATTGAAAAATAAACTAGAAAAACCTTGTGGTTGGTCACACACAAAATAAGCATACAAAAATGCATAAAATAAAAGGCATGTACTCTCTCTCCCCCTCCTCCCTCCCCCCTCTCCTTCTCCTCCTCCCTCCTTCCCTCCCCATCTCTCCCCCTATCTCCCAAAGGAATAAAGAAATTATATTGTATTGTTCACCCAAAGTGAAGATGAGATCAAGCCACTTCTTTCAATTCCTCCTGACTTAGAACTTCCTCATTAAGTTCCTTGCTAGAATAAGTGCCTTTACTCCTTAGAACAAAGAAGCAGTGTTTATTCATCCCCAAACTGGCTCCATTTCTTTCTTTCCTGTTGGCCTCTCTTTACCCATAGACCTCTTCACAAATCTTCAATCAAGCTATTGGCAATGGACTGTATTACACATTTCATTTAAACTTAAGGGCAATCTAGAAATCAAGATTGTGTGTACTGTTTGCCCTTTCACTTCTATGTAGAAACATTTATATTGGTTAATATACATAAGCTATAAGAAAAGAGATACATAACTGATCTACTCGTCAATGTGTAAACACTTAGATACTTTGAAGTTCTCAGACCAAAATGGAATGTCTGTACCAAAGCCTTGCAGTCAAGTCTCAGTGATGATGCTGAAGAACGGGCATAAAAGCTCTATGAGCTAGACATAATGGCTGACTACAAGGAAAGAGGATCTTCTGGACACAATAGGGCTGTGGCACATCTGAGCTCACACAGACTGTGAAAGCATGGGCAGCCAGACACACCTGCATTCAAAGGGGAAAGTAGACACAATGTTCCACACCTAACCAAGAAGCTATTTGCAAATGATACTTTCTGGAAAATGGGAAAATCAGCTTTCTCCAATTGATTTTTCACTGGCTATATCAGCCACATTCCAGGGCAGGCTCCTGGCCAAGGAGTACTTAGCCAGTACAAGACAGACTCCATGATTTTTTGTGTGCTTTTTGCTTTGTTTTGGTATTTTTTGTCTTGTTAATTTTGAGAGGAGTGAATGGGAGGGAGGGAGGGAAGTAGCGGGGGATGGAGGGAGGAAGAGAGAGAGGAGAGAGAGAGGAAGTAAAACTAATATGATGAATTTGGGTGGATAGGAAGTGAGAGGGATCTAAGAGTAGTTGGGAGAAGGGGAAGAGTATTATTGTAACATATTATACAGTAGGCATATCATTATTGCAGTGCTGGGGATCAACCCAGTGTCTTGAGCATGCTAGGCAGTGTGGACCTCCCTCACTGTGTAGGGTGGGCTATGAACTTTCTATATAGACTAGGATAATCTCAATTCACAATCCTTCAACCTCACCCTCCACATTCCAAGACTACAGTCATGTATCACCACATCCAACAATAATTATGTATCTTTCATGCTTTCAAAAGAAAATAAATTCTGTGAAGAAAGGGGACTATTTTTTAACTTTAGTATATCCATAGACTGTGCTAACTATACACTTGCTATAAATTAATAAGGAAACAGAGTTTGGGTAAATGTGAGCAATGATGTCAATGGATAAATATGGCAAAAATAATTAAGTAGGTTGTTGTGTTAAATACTTATCTTAAGTGTGAAATTTACAAGTGGGACAAGACAAAAACCTGGGTACACTCAACTGTAGCTGTTTCCCACACTGTCCCTTTGCACCTTCCTCTGACTCTTAATTCACAACATGGCTCCCCAAGAAACCTTTTGTTGCAGAGAGCCCTTCTCCTGCTTATGCCACAGGGGCCTGAAACATAGGAAGCAGCTGGTTTTTCCTTCTCTGTGCACGTCAGACGCAAGTAATTACGTGACAGTCACTACAACTTTCCATACTGTCATGGTTTGGCTATGAATGTACCCCCCAAGAAGGCATGGCCTTTTAGAGAGATCCCCCCTCCCAATGCATTCCAGGTGCCATGGTATATGTAACAATTCTCTTGCCTCAGCTTCTTGAACAGGTTGAGATTACAGACAGGAGCCATCATGTCCCTCTAAGGCTCATTTGTTGAAAATCTGGTTCTACATGCAACAGTGTTAAGAAAGAGCTTAGGGCAGTATTGGATCATGAGGAATCTGCCTTTATCAACTAATATGCTGATAGATTTATCATTCAACATTCTTATTGAGATGTGATATAAATTATTGCAGGAGGTAGGTTCTAGTTTGAGGAAGTGGGTCACTGAAGACATGTCCTGTAAAGATTTACCTTGGTCCCGGTCCCTTCCTAGTGTTCTGTTTCCTGCCACCATGGGGTGGGCAGCCTCTGTGACACATTCCCTCAGCCATAATGCTCTGCCCGCTGCAGACACAAACAACTGAGTCAGGCAACTATGGAGGAAATCTCTGAAGCTGAGAAACAAAATTAGTCTTTGGGCTTTCAAGCTGCTTACCTCAGGTATTTGTCACTGTGACGAAAACTGACACAGATGTCTGCAGGGCTGACACCACAGGAAAAATCAAGACAGGAAGAATGCTAATTTAACAGCTGGCTTTGATACATTCGCATCATCTTTCATTCAACAACATTCCAAGCTAGATTCTCATGCCAGTTAGAGAATGAAGACACATGAAGGTTAGGTAACTTGGGCAGTGTCAGAGAGTGCACTGGACTGTCATGGATGCAGCCCTTAGGGAACTGTGGGGTGTGGTAGCATTGACAAATAAATTTTGAGTAAGAAAATGTCTCTGCTACACTATAACTAGGTTATTTACATTATAGTTAGTATTTCATTTTGTAAAGATTAATTTGGGATTAAAATAGCAGAGTAGGACTTCGATGCTAGGGAATATAATTTTCCACTTGAAAATGAGGATAAGCACAAGTTAAGACGTATGGATTTATGATGCTCCTGTATTCCCAGAAGGCAAGCATGCAGTCCAGCTTGTGAGGTTACGTCAGTCCCAAAAGGTCTCTGAGGTCCCAGAGAAGGAGGCCTGTTGAGGTAACAAACTCCACACACCACACCAAGCCCTGCATCTGGTTGTCTGTGCATCTGGTCGGGTTTCCTTAGATCATCTCTTGCTACTGTGAGTAAGGTGAGGATGATAACCAGACTCCACACCCATCCTGATAGGCAGCACACACCAATTAATATTTAATGCTTTCCTGTACCTGCATACTCCCCCATAAGTAGTTATCCACACAAAGGTCAAGCACATTGTCAGCGCCCACAGAGACGGACTGCCCTGCTGATTTTATTCTCCGCCTTTGCCTTTTCCTTAATATCTTTACCTGATCTTTCCCAATACACACCCCCCAAGTACAGAACAGACAAGTCAGCTGGAACCAACTGAAGCCCAACACAGCCAGGTTTTTACAGACTAGGCGCCACAAAGTGGGGCTACTAGAAATGGTCACTACAACACATGTGTTTATGTAGTTAATTCCCACTATTCTCCTTCAGGGGAAAATCAAAGGCTATAGTCTATTCATCAGTTGACTGTAAAAGCCTGTAGTCAGTATTCAGCTCACAAAGGGATGTCGCCTGAATGAAAGCTAAGAGACAAATACCTCTTAGATGCATGTGAATTCCAAAGACAACTATTTCAAATTGGTTTGCAGTAACACTAATGCCAGGATGGAATTTGTCAACTGTTCCTGAATAGTGCTCACACTGTGTGGGCACTACAAGGAACCAGGAAAGGAGAGAACTCACATACAAGCAAGCAGTTTCTAGCTAGACCAAAAAAAAAAAAAAATTGATTATGTTTATGTTTACAATATAACATCGAAGTTATAAAGTAAGGGAGAGGATACCTAGAAGAATAGCCCTACCCAAATACAAAAGTGTTAATAAACACAGAGGAACCCCAACACAACCAGAAGGAAGATGGTCACCACCAAAGTTAGAATTGCAGTCAGCTTTATCTGATTGAACAGCATCAAAATGCAAATACCATCCAAGTGAGGCATGTAATTTTAATTTTAAATTGAAGCATTTCCTAGACCAGCACTTTTTAATAGATTTCCTGAGCACTTGAAATGTGGCTGGTGAGATTAAGGAACAGAACTGTTACGTTTATTTAACTTCAGTTAATTTGGTCCTAAATAGTTATACATGGCTAAATGACTGCAAGATACCAATTTAGAGAGAAAAGCCTATAATACTGTCTCAGTTACTTTGGAGTGTGAACTTCATGCCTCAAAGTTCCTAAGCAACCTAATATGTAAGACCTCAAATGATACCATTTAGAATTTATTCAAATTTTGAGAAGGATCAATTTGAAATGGGAAAATGCTACCTTTGGGGATGGAATATGCACAAATGCACTTTTTGTTATTTTTACGGGATAAACACATGTTTATACACACAGTTCAGTTTTCTAGAAAACAATTTATCCCCCATAAAAATGCACCCCCAAATAATAACTTCTCATGTAAGACTGCACTCCTAGTTCCCTGAATAACAGGAAGCAAAATCAGTAGGGAACTCTCCTCATTCAAAACTTGAGCCTGCAGTCGGTTTCATTAAATGCACAAAAAAGTACAACCTTTCACTGCCTGCATATCTCTCTCTCTCTCTCTCTCTCTCTCTCTCTCTCTCTCTCTCTCTCTCTCTCTCTCTCTCTCTCTCTCTCTCTCTCTCTCATAGGTTTCCACAGCTAAGTGTGGAACACAAACACCTTCTTCACCTGCATCTGTGCCCTCAGCACCTCTAAAGCCAGTAGGCATGCTTCCACCCTGGGCCATGCTCACAGACTTGTCTGAAGGGAGGTGGAGGCGCATGTGCAGACGTCCTGTACACTGGGACCTAGGAGCGCAGCATCTCAGACATCCTGGCACATCTCTCAGGCGCAGGTGCGCCTGGCACAGCGCTTCCCCAGCCCAGCATCTCCGCCTCAGGCATCCGCGCGCATCATCTTCACCTCTGAGCCGAGCTCACCTTTCTCGCTCACGCTCTCGCTCTCCAGCTCCACGTCCTCGCAGCTGGTGTACTCCGGCGTGGACACGCCCTCTTCCTCGGAGCTGCTCACCGACATCTGTCTCCTCTTGCCTCCCCGCTTGGGCCGGTGCGGCTTGGGCGGGGACGGTCGCACGGACTCGGACTGGTCGGAGCTCAGGGAGTCGTTCCGCAGCATGCTCTCTGCCTTCTCGCGCTTGGCCTTGCGCAGGAGCACGGCCGAGCCCGGGTCCAGGCGACCCTGCTTCCGGAGCGGCTCGGGGACGCGCGGCTCGGGCGGCTCTGCGGGACCCGGGACTGGCCGTGGCGCCAGCGGGCCGTGCTCGGCGGGAGGCTGGGCGACGGGCGCGCGCGCGCGCGGGGACTCGGGCGGAGAGGCCCTGGTGGCGGCTGGCGCGCGCTTGCCCGCCGCGGCCTCGGCCGGCGCGGCTGGAGCCTCGGTGTGCGGGAGTGCCACGTCGCTGTGGCGCCGCTCGTGCCTCGCGCGGGACACCCGGGCGTGCATGCGCATCTGCTGCTCCTCGGGAGGCGGCTTCACGGGGTAGCGCGCCAGGTTCGGGTCGCTGCGGTACCTGGTCTGGTACTCTTCCTCTTTCCTCTGCTTCTCGTCCTCCGCCGCCCTGCCATCCTCGCGTTTCTCAGGCCGGTCCGGGTAGTCCTGGGAGCGCCCTTTCTCCAGCCTGCGGGTTTCCCGCCTTTCCTTCTGCTCCCGCTCTTCCGCGGTCCCTTCCCCGGGCTGCACCGCGGATTTGGGGACGCGTTTGCGCTCGCTCTTCAGGCCTCCCTTGCCATTCTGCTCCGAAAGCCCTGGAGCCTTCTTCCTGTGGTGTGCAAAGAACAGTTGATAGAATTTCAACAACACACCAAGAGAAATCCTTGTTGTGCATTCAGGCCTAAATCTATTATTTCGCATGATTAGATAGAATCCCGCGTCTAATTAAAATTTGAAGTAAAGAACGCCGTTAAATTTATGTACCGATTAAGTTTTAAATGTGAACCCTTTGCATTACAATAGTATCAAAAACGTATTTGGGCCTTTTAAAGTTTGCGTTTTAATTAGAAATCATGAATATTAATTCAATAGGCCCATATTATGCTTACAGTCCCTTGTAACATAAATTGTTTCAAATAGAAACAACATTGACAATAATAACTTAAGATCTAAGTTTAAGCATACATCACTACAAGAGCAAATGTCTTTTCCACACATGTATTTATGAACATGCATACTTGGAATTCTTGACTAACAATGAAACTTTTACAATTAAGAATGTGCTTATTTCAGAAATCAGATCTAGTAGCACTATGATAACGGAGCAAGTTCATTTCGGCTTGATTATTGGTACCCAAGACTTTTTTTCTTTTACAGCATTAATCAGAAAACAGTGGCTGACCCCTAGCTTATATTGTAACTTTCTCAGTCACTATAACTACACACAGTGACATTTTTTGTTTGTTTATTTGTTTCTTAAAGTACTGCTACCCAAAGCCAAGACCCTGTGCATGCCAGGGTGAACATCCTCAGCTCAGACATAGGGCTATATTTAAAGGTGCTGTTCATTTTCTCTTCCTTCATCCCTACTTATTACAAAATAAAGCCGCAAAGAAGAAAGCAGGTTTTGAGTTTTTCGTTCTTTATATGACTTTTGTTTTCAGGCAAAGATAAAATTAAAGGAAAAGTGCTTGTCAGGTCTTTGAATCCCATAAAGGTATTCTTCCCTTGTCCCCTTCAGTATTTCTCCATACAAAGAACCTGGCCAGGAATGTCCCTGTTGATATTCCAAAAGTTTCTGGAAAACATTTTTTCCTTGGCTAAAACTTTCTGAACTAATTCTAAATGTGCAGCTAAAATGGAGATAACCACAGGCTTGCTTTACAGTTCAAAGGAGCATAGGGAATCTGATTCAGGGGCCACAGCATTTGCACACAAGTTTGTGTGTGTGTGTGTGTGTGTGTGTGTGTGTGCGCGCGCGCGCGCGCGCTCTCTCTCTCTCTCTCATGCACTCACATGCTTAAGCATTCCTGCACATATATGAATGCATATCTAAACAGTGGAGACATTAGTCATTTCCGCTGTGGATTATCAAAGGGCAGCTGCTAAAATACATTGTGGGGTGGGGGAGGGGGAGAGACTATTGAGGACAGAAGGGGAACAGAGGCAAGGAGTAAAAAGAAGCATGGTGAGTTCTGCTTGAGGTATTTATAGTGCAGTGGCACTTCAAAATGAAAAGGGCATGGGCCTGAAAGTGGGTCACAGAGTGTGGGGCTGCAATTTCGCAATAGAAGGGGTCTAACACCATCGCAATAGAAGGGGTCTAACACCATCACATATTGGTAATTGGTAACTACAATTTTCAAAGATGCCACGACCGTACTCCATGCAAATAACTCATTGGTTTCTAAGGCTTACTTGAATTTGCTACAAGTTTAGGTCAAAACAGATTACTCTTCTGGAGATGCTGAACGGTTGGCTACCCTGCAGAGTTCATAAGATCATTACAGGAGAGCCATCCGGGGGTTGCTTTAAGGAAGGTCGAGGGATTTGCTTTTTTGGGGGGCCCAACTAATGATACTTTTCTTGTCACTAACTTTAATTGTTCTGTTCCCACTAGCTCCAGATTAATGCTCAAAATATGGTCAAGAAATTTTCAGTAATTGAAATCTTTCCAATCTTGCTTCTCCAAGGCTGCCCAAGTCCAAACTGTCACCAGGCCCTCTTCTGTTCATAAACCCAAGCCTCCATTATCTGTTTACAGACCCCTGCTTTCCTCGGTGCTCATGCTGTATGTCATGTGTCAACATGCCTCTGTACTCCTTGGGATTTTATGTAGGTTTTCATCATCGGCCAAACTTGACTCTTGTTTACCAACTATACAGTTCTACCATCTTGCTCATATTTAAAGGTACAGTTTTCTGACCAGACCCAAAATGCATCTTTAATATTTGTGTTTCTTAACACACTACGTTTTGTCATCAAGTGAGTTTCCATCTGTTGTCACTACAGTAATTCTGAAGTCCTTTCTTTTTTCAAATGTCTTCATACACATCCTCTCCTCTACTCTTGCCTATTTCCCTCTAACATCTGTGGATCTTATAAGGCTTAATTCAAAAGCCATTTCTTTTATTTCTAGACCTCACAAAGTACTGTACCTATTCTCTATTATTGAACAATCGATAAACATCCTGACTAACTGCCTAGGTGTCAGTCTTTCCTGGGATACTGTTTCCCCATAGTGTGAGAAATGGGATATGTTATCATCTCTGCGCCCTCTGGTTCCTGGCACTGAGTTTAATTACAGTGATTGTTTGAGGAGTGCTGGCTGAAATCACAGCCATATTCAGTTAGGTAGGCACCACATGTCGGCCTGGGACCTTGTGTTCCCCTTTAATACTTGGCACACCCCTGCAAAGTGTGTTATCACTGCCTATTATGCCAGAATCAGGGCTGTAACCTAGACATGCTTTACTTTGAAGTCATTGATCTTGTGTACATTTTGTTTGAAAATGATGTCTGAACACTTCCTTGGGTGGAGACTACTCCTTACATAGTAGCATAAATAACAGTTACAGGGACAGAAGCAGTCAAGCCTAGTCCCGTCCCACCCGTGAGGGCTCACACACCAGAAGCATCATTCCTTAGCATCTGTGTTTTCTAGTGGACAGCATCAACTCAGATAAATGAATGTATGAGTAAAACATTTTATGTACACTATCTGACCATTTCATGCCTTGCTGACATCTTTGGTGACACCCATGATGCTCGGGATAAACACCTAGGAAAGTTAACCCCTTTGCTAACTATATTTCCAGTTACCTCTCCTCAACTCATCCTTGACTACTTGTACTCTAGGTATCCTTTAGAAAGACCACAAGCAGAAGTCTTTCCTTCAGGCCACATGCCTAGCAGATACCATTAGCATCATTCTTAACTTCACTTGATTAAATGTCTCACTATTTTTATGTTGCAGCTAAAAAGAAATGTACTCAGAGTAATCTCTGATGTCCCATCAAGCCTGTCAGTAGGTTGGGTTCTGCATCTTATGCTTTAAGAGCACACTTTTCACTCATGTGCTAAACCTATAAATAGTGTTTTTAAGGGCTTTTCTCAACTCAAAGTTGGACGTTTGTAACTCAAATGATTGGCATAACTTTTACTGGCATCTGTGCTAGATATGAAAACCAAGCTTCTCCACAGAGGTCCCTTATGGAATGACATATCCTTGAGGCAGACAAAAATCTCCAGCCTGTTGCTGCCTTGAACATGGGGCCTAAGAAGTAATCCATCCACACACTCCTCCTAAGGAGGTGTGCTTTCTAATAAGCCCTCAACTTTTGCTTACACTATTAAAGAATTACTACCTTTCCCTCGGTGGCTCGCTTCTAGACCTTGATGCCTGCTTCTGTTCAGCTCCCAAGGCTTGCTGTGAAGGCTCGGTCCCTTTGCTTCTGTCCGCTAGTGCACTAGGGGAAGTGGTGCCCTGGGAAGCGGCAGCTGCTGAACTCAGGGGTGTCTGAGACCTGGATCGCTCTTGGAGTCGTGCTTTCTTTTCTCTTGGCACCTCAGATCCAGCACCTGTAGTCGTGTCGCTCAGAGTCCCATCCTGACTGGGTTGCTGAGGGCCACTTCCAAAGAACCATGCTCCAGATTTGGTTAAGATTTCTTGTTGCTTTCGGCATAAATTGCATACCCACATAACCTATTTGAAGAAGAGAAAGAGCAATATAAAAACTTTCTCTGTTATTTCCAAATGTTTTACTAAAATTAATCATAAGGAAAGAATGTCTTCATCTTTCTATGTACCCATGAAAATTTCTTATAAAACATTTTTCATATAATCCACAGTCAGGTTTATCAGTGCCTGGACTGAAAGAGTGCCTCTGAGCAACTAGAGTTTTCTTAATTTAATTTAATGATTCTGAGTTTGTTTCATTTTACCATATGTCTGTCATGGTTTGTATAATTGACTCTGATGTTTCACTAAAATATCTGTTAGCATAAGTGCTCTAGGTGACGCAGATAACTGACCAGAAACTGTTGTAAAGAGATGTAGAATCAATACTTCTGTACATCAGTTTCAGCATCTCACAGCATTTTATAGATATCTGTCTTCTGAAACACAATCTATTATTAAAGTCATCCATGAAAGCTATTAACATGGAAAAAGGCACAGAAATACAGGAAATGGCAACTTTTATATTTCCTTTGGTTAGTGTTAACCTCAAGCTTACTTTTTGGTACACATGGTATTAATTCATACACATACTTTTTAAAGCAATGCATCTGAGGCTGGATTTATTATTATGTGACAATAATGAACTATTTCTTAAGAAAATAATATTAGAACATTCAGTAGCATACATGCTGACTGGAGGGACTCTGGGAAGATGGCTTTGGCAAGCCCTGCCCTTCTCCCCCATGACCTCTACCTAAAAACTGTTAACAGTTTTTAGAACCCCCAAGGTCTATTCCCTAATTGTTCTACTTCCTCCTCCTGAGGCTAACTACCAAGGTGCAGCTCTCAGTAGCCTCCTTCGGCTCACCTAGTTTAGCATGCCCAATTAAAATTAAATACCTCATCCTAACATGGGCTTTCTTTTACCTTTTACTTTTATTTTAAAAAAAAAACTGCTATTTTCCTATGGGAAAAAGTCCTTTGTCTTCTCTATCCAGAAGCAGTCCTTTGTAGCTCTCTGGGATGAATACCTCTTCCCCCTCTCTCCTGTTCCCTTCTCCTTCTCCCCCATCTTCTATCTCCTATCTTTGTCTCTTATTCCCCACCCTGTGTCTGTCTGGGGCAAATAAATCTCCTCTGTGCTGAAAAATTGTTCTCAGGGGTCTTGAGCAGATACCAGTCTCTAACATTGATGAATGATGAGCCGTCACTTAAGATAAACATTTAATTTGCTGCCCTTAATGACATTTAAAATTAGGAATAGTAACAAGGACCGATTATAACAAAAATAATAAAGGGTATGAGCAATGACTAGCACCAAGGACAAAGATAGCTGATGGCATACCCGGGAGCCTTCTTTCTGAACACATGATATAAAACTGAGTGAACAATTCATTACCTGAGTGTATGCCAAAATAGTTACAATTCTGAAAGATAAACCAGGTGAGACTGTGCATGCCTCCCTGTATCCTCACCTTCTCAAACCACACACGTAAAGTTACCCAGAAGGCCTGATTCTGTGAACAGGGATACACCCCAGAACCAGGACTCCCACCACAACTTCTGGCCACCCTCTGCCTAGCTCTCAGGATGGGGGAGTGATGTTCCCACTCTGTCTTTGCCACTGTAGCCGACAAGACACCAATACGACCTGAAATCGTGTGATTCTTGAAGCCAGATAGGGAACTTTTCTCATTTTACACCAACTAAATAAATACTAGGAGAGAGAATCTTAAACTGACAAAGGGCAGTTCATCAGCAATTATTAAGGAAGGGTCATTTTCTACAACATAATACATTCCTGGGCCATGTTTAGAGACAAATGCGCATGTCCTTTAAAAGCACAGAAAATTCTTTTTTACAATTATTACAGAGTTTTCAAAATGGCTGTACGTTAAATAAAAGGACACAAAAGAATATGGCGACAGGGATAGAAAAGATAACTCTCATTGGATATCTGAATAGTATCTGGAAATGTTATTACAGCTTTCTTTATTCTTTGACTTTAAGCATTAAACTTGTCAATAAAAGGAAACTGGCACATTTGGAGAGAGTTCAGATTTCGGATATATGCTTTACAATAAAATATTTAAATTAAATTTTATAATCCACTTAATTTAATTATGGCAAGTAATATCCATACTTTAGATGATAGCCTTATCCAGGTATAAATTCACTCATAAGTCAGTATTAACTATTAGGCAAACGATAACCAAATAATTTTATCCAAAGACCCAGAGAGATAAGGTAAAGAGGAGGGTTCTAGTCATGGGATGGGGAAGGGGGTTATGAACCTCCCTGGAAAGAGAAAATACAAGAAATCCTGTTGTTGGATTGTGGGGTGGGTAGTGACTTGAGTGGGTAGTATCAGGTGTTCGGTGGAGGGAGAGATTGCTGGAATTGTGGAGCATTGTTGGGTATATGTGGAGGCCTACGTCAGCAGAAATTTCTGGGAATCTATCTACCACGTGATGCTAGTGAGAACTCTTAGTAATGAAAGTTATGGAGTTTGAACTGACAATCTTTGTAGCCAGGCAAGGCTTCCACTGGTGGGATTTGGTTGCATTCAGGTAGGTTGTTTGTCCAGAGGGTCCCATGGAAATCCCTAAACAACCCAGCCTGATGTTAGGACAGAAAGGCGTTGTCTGAAAACAGACAGCAGCCCCTTTTGCTGAAGACAACATTGCACAGCTCATTGAATGCAGAGAGGTCTAGCTGGTACCAGCATGGAGTCTTCGCCCACACCTTCTAGTCTCTTTGGCATGAGAAAGTACGAGCCAGTGGAACAGGAACTCTTGTGTGAGATGAGAAAGGTATACCTCTGATACCTCAGTCACATGGCTATCTACACAAGACTAAAAATGACAATACCAACAGACATGGTAACATGGGAGACATCTCAGAGTACGTGATCTTTAGAGGAGGAGTTGCAGGCAACAAGGGAGAATTAGTCACTCCCAGGGATGAGGTCCCTAATTAGCTAGCCAATACCAAACAGTCAGCCCTGAAATCGTGTACATGTAATCAACACTAAGTGTACTCAACAGGCTGTAGTTTGACAATCACAAACACACACACACACAAATACACACACACTTATTGGTTTGTGTATATGCACAATAATAATTATAGAAAACAAGGATGTAATAATAATATTCATTAAGAAGGAATTGGAGGTGAGTTTGAGAGGAGAAAACAGGAAATGTCTGAGGGAAGAAAGGGAAAAGAAGAAATCATGCAATTATATTTTAATTAAAATTTGAAAAACATTAAATAAGGAAACAAAATAGCACTCCAGAGGCCAGAAAAAAATGTAGATTGTTTTGTCTATAGTCCTTGATATTTATGGCAATAATTTCACCCGATGTCTCCACTGTGTGGATGTCCTCAATACTTTATGTTCCTGTGGCACAAGTAAAATCATTTCTTATCTCTTACTCATCTAGACCAGTAGTTCTCAATGTGAGGGTTGCAACCCATTGGGAGGACCAAAGGTCCCTTTCACAGGGGTTGCATATCAGATATCCTACATATCAGATATGCACAGTACTATTGCTAACAGTAGCATAAAAAAAAACAGTTAAGAAGCCAGGAAAATAATTTTATTGTTAATAGTCACCAAAACATGAACTGTATTAAGTAATTGCAGCATTAGGAAGGTTGAGAACCACTGCTCTAGATCTAGGTGTGCCTTACTTGCAGTTAAGCAAGCCCTGACTCAATGATAGGAATCTGCACTTACCCTCACTGCTATTGTCTCTGAAGGGTGACACAAGTGTAAATGCATCATATTACCAACACGTTTTATGAAAGATATAACAAATCATATATAAATAACTATGCATGAAGAGACAGAGACAGACAGTGTGCGAAACATGGAGAGAGATCAGGTATTGGTGGAGGCCAGCCTGATCTACAGAGCAAGATCCAGGACCGGCTCCAAAGCAATACAGAGAAACCCTGTCTCAAAGAACCAAAACAAAAAACAAAGAAAGAAAGAAACATGGAAAGAGAGATAGAGAAAAGAGAGAGGAGGAAAGAGGGGAGCAAGGAGGAGAAAGAGCGTGCCAGAATATCTAGGAGATCTGGAAGTTGCCTTGTAAGACACATTTCAATATGTGGTGCCATAGATCAGTAAGTCATGTGGCAAGTCAGAGAGTTTTACTAGAACCAGAAATTTAATGAACTGAAATAATTAAGAATGCAGGAAAACTGACATGCTTCCAAATTACACAAAACTGAGGATAGGATAAGTGAACTCAATTTTGGATAAAGTCTGAAAAGATGAAATCATGAAGTGCAAAACAGAGATGATCCTAAGAAACAGACAGTAAATGACGAAAAAGTTTACTGGAATCCTTGAAGACACAACAGAATGGGAAGCAGCAGAGCAGTATCCGGGGGTGTAATGTTTCTGAATCATTTGCATAGGTTGTATCAGCAGCAGCTCATGCTAAAGCCTGAATCTCCAATATGATTGTATATGAAGTCGGGGCTCTCAGAGCCATGTGAGTGTAAATGATGTCATTTGGGTGAATCCATGTACAGTCTCTCCCCATCTCTCCCTTGCCAACCCTCCCCCCCCCCGCTGCCATCCTGAAAAGACAGGATGCCAAATCTCTTCCAATATTGTCTCTTACACTAACATTGAACTATTGTCATTAAAGCCATCTAGTCTACAAAGTTTTGTTACTACAGCCTAAACCAAGACACTGATAAAAGGAACTATGTTACCAGTTTAAGAATTGTTGCAAACTCTAAAATCCAAACACAAACAGCTGAGAGCTGAGCTATGATAAAGAAAAATGAACATGAAATAAAATTCCATGGAAGTAAAAAATACCCTTCGAAAACAAAGTTATTTTGATTTAACCAAAGAATGAATGATATAAGAAGCACAGAATATGAAATTCTAAAGAATACTAAAGAAAAAGATCAAATAGATACAGACATAAAAGGACTCTTTACTTACTGACTCTTCTTACAGTAAGAATTGGTGAGTCTAAATGAATATTAATGGTAAA